TCTCACATTGATGAGAAGGATCCTCTGATCACTGAATCTTTTCTGCAGGTTCCGAGTCTCTCCGGGCTGGAGAAGGAATTTGGGAGGATCCATCTGAGGAGAGAATCTTGCCGAGTGATATCTCCGGTCTGTACGGAAAGAGCGACATGCGGACACTGCACACGGCTCTCTCACTGCCAACATGCTATACATGTGTATGAAGGGTCACATGACCTGCACTGCCACCAGACAGCCCCTCCCACACATATATACACTATATTTCCAAAAGTATTGGCCCCTCCCAATCATGTGATTCAGGTGTTCCGTGACATTTCCCGGCTACTAAATATTCCGCCGCGGTCGCCTGTTACTGGGATTATAACAAAGTGGAAGCAACCGGGAACAACAGCAACTCAGCCAGGAAGTGGTCGGCCACGTCACATGACAGAGCGGGGTCAGCGCATGCTGAAGCGCACAGCGCGCAGAAGTCGCCGACTGTCTGCAGAGCCAATAGCTACAGACCTCCAAACTCCATGCGGCCGTCAGATTGGCACAACAACAGTGCGTAGAGAGCTTCATGGAATGGGGGGCGGAGCAGCTGCATCCAAGCCGCACATCACCAAGTGCAATGCAAAGCGTGGGATGCCGCGGTGTAACGCACGCCGCCACTGGACTCTAGAGAAGGGGAGGCGTGTTCTCTGGAGGGACCAATCACGCTTCTCTGTCTGGCAATCCGATGGACGTGTCTGGGTTTGGCGGTTGCCAGGAGAACGGTACTTGCCTGACTGCATTGTGCCAAGTGTAAAGTTGGGGGGGGGGGTTGTTTTTCGGGGGTTGGGCTCCGCCCCTTAGTTCCAGTGAAGGGAACTCTTAAGGCATCAGCACACCAAGACATTTTGGACAATTTCATGCTCCCAACTTTGTGGGAGGAGTTTGGGGACGGCCCCTTCCTGTTCCAACATGACTGCGCACCAGTGCACAAAGCAAGGTCCATAAAGACACGGATGGGGGAGGGGGGGAGGAGGAACGTGACTGGCCGCACAGAGTCCTGACCTCACCCCCATAGAACACCTTTGGGATGAATTAGAGCGGAGACTGCAAGCCCCTCCCCCAACATCAGTACCTGACCTCACAAATGGTCCAACATTCCCATAGACACGCCCCTAAACCTTGCGGACTCCTTCCCAGAAGAGGCGGAGCTGTTATAGTGGCAAAGGGCGGAGCCAACCCAATACTGAACCCTACGGACTAAGACTGGGGGGCCATTAGAGGGCGGAGCCAACCCAATACTGAACCCTACGGACTAAGACTGGGGGGCCATTAGAGGGCGGAGCCAACCCAATACTGAACCCTACGGACTAAGACTGGGGGGCCGTTAAAGTTCATTTGCGTGTGAAGGCGTCCCAATACTTTTGGCAATATAGTGTATGTGAAGAGTCACATGACCTGCACTACCACCACAGACCGTTATAAATGAGGTTTCATATGATACCTCATACACACAAGTCCCATCACATGTGGTTGGAAGGACTGTGTGTACAGGGAGAGCTCTATGGTTGGGAGGACTGTGTGTATAGGGAGATCTCTATGGTTGGGAGGACTGTGTGTATAGGGAGATCTCTATGGTTGGGAGGACTGTGCGTATAGGGAGATCTCTATGGTTGGGAGGACTGTGTGTACAGGGAGAGCTCTATGGTTGGGAGGACTGGTTGGGAGAGCTCAATAGTTGGGAGGACTGTGTGTACAGGGAGAGCTCTATGGTTGGGAGGACTGTGTGTACAGGAAGAGCTCTATGGTTGGGAGGACTGTGTACAGGAAGAGCTCTATGGTTGGGAGGACTGTGTGTGACTGGTTGGGAGGACTGTGTGTACAGGGACAGCTCTATGGTTGGGAGGACTGTGTGTGACTGTGGTTGGGAGAGCTCTATGGTTGGGAGGACTGTGTGTACAGGGAGAGGTCTATGGTTGGGAGGACTGTGTGTGACTGTGGTTGGGAGGACTGTGTGTACAGGGAGAGGTCTATGGTTGGGAGGACTGTGTGTGACTGTGGTTGGGAGAGCTCTATGGTTGGGAGGACTGTGTGTACAGGGACAGCTCTATGGTTGGGAGGACTGTGTGTACAGGGAGAGCTCTATGGTTGGGAGGACTGTGTGTATAGGGAGATCTCTATGGTTGGGAGGACTGTGTGTATAGGGAGATCTCTATGGTTGGGAGGACTGTGTGTATAGGGAGAGCTCTATGGTTGGGAGGACTGTGTATACAGGGAGAGCTCTATGGTTGGGAGGACTGTATATGATTCAGTCTATGAAGTTGGTCTTATGATTGGTGTCCCCCAATGACAGGCATGTCAAATGTTCATGGCACACGTGTGTTTGTAATCAGATGATTTGCATTGGTTGGTGGAGGTCATGTGATCCGCTTCTCGCTGTATCCTGTACAGGAGCTCTGTGTGTCGGTGTCTCAGCAGTTGGCGGCCATCTTTGTTCTGCAGCTGGAGGGCAAATCCCGGATCAGCGGAATGCAGGTAGGTACAAACATTCCCAAAACCCGGCCGCGTGGACTCCCATGTGTAATGTGACGTGTCGTGTGCAGGACGCGGTGCGGGAATTCTTCAGGAGGCGCTACATCCAGGAGGAGATCAGCTGCCGAGGATTGGAGGACTACCTGTGTGCGGTGAGGCGGTACGCCCCGGAGAGTCAGGTCAGTGCTCGGGGGCCCCACAATGGTCTGGGAGGAAGTGGAATCAGCAGGCCGGGAGCTGAACGCTCTGGTGTCTCTTCCTGCAGGTTCTGTCTCTGCTGGGATCAGTACTGACCTGTGATATGGATCCTTCCGTACTGTGCTATGTCCTCCTCCATGCAGACGTCATCCTGGAGTCGCCACTCTCTGACATGGGCCACGTCCAGCACTTCCTGCAGCAGAACTACCAGTTCCTGGAGGTGAGCCCACGGAGATGGAACCCCGCCAGTGTTTGCCGGAAGCCTCCGCTGGTTCTGGGGGTGCTCATGGAAATTCCACATTGTGCTGAATAGTTCTGTCTCCGGTCTGGGAAGACACACCCCATGCACAACTGTCTGTGTTCCCCATAGCAACCAATCACTTCCCCTTTCTATCCAATCAGAACAGGTTTGAAGTGTGAATGTGACAGCTTGTATATTGGGTGAATGATGCTGTTACTTTAGGAAGAAAGGCATTGTGGGTACAGCAGAGAGGACAGGAAGTCGGGTCACCACATCCCATAATTCATTGTCTGGACAGGAAACAGAGCGGGACAGTCTGCTGCTCGAGTTCACGGCCTACAGCCAGAAGCATGTGACCCCCTCCCGTGTGATGAGCTTTATACTACACCTGATTCTGCAGCACCGAGAACCCCTTATCATGGAGGTGAGTGCGCACAATGGCGTGGTGGCATAGTAATACGGGGAGGTCTCTGGTTCGGCGGTGAGGTCACACGGGGAGATCGCTGGGTCGGCGGTGAGGTCACACGGGGAGAGCGCTGGGTCGGCGGTGAGGTCACACGGGGAGACCTCTGGGTCGGCGGTGAGGTCACACGGGGAGACCTCTGGGTCGGCGGTGAGGTCACACGGGGAGACCTCTGGGTCGGCGGTGAGGTCACACGGGGGGAGCGCTGGGGCGGCGGTGAGGCCC